TGAAGAGGACTTGAAGCACTTACTGATGAAGATCAAAGACTACAGCCTTCAGTATGGATTACACCTCAACATAAAGAAAACAAAAATCCTCACAAATGGACCAATAAGCAGCATCATGATAAATGCAGAAAAGATTGAAGCGGTCAAGGATTTCATTTTACTTGGACCCACAATCAGCGTCCATGGAAGCAGTAGTCAAGAAATCAAGTGACGGATTGCACTGGGCAAATCTGCTGCAAAAGACCTCTTTAAAGCCTTCAAAAGCAAGGGTGTCATTTTGAGGACTAAGGTGCGTGTGACCCAAGGCACGGTATTTTCAATTGCCTCATATGCATGCAAAAGCTGGACAATGCGTAAGGAAGACTGAAGAAGAATTGTGGTCTTTGAATTGTGGTGTTGGTGAAGAGTATTGAATATACCATGGAGTTCCAGAAGAACGAACAAATCTGTCTTGGAAGAAGTGCAGTCAGAATGCTCCTTAGAAGCAAGGACAGTGAGACTTCATCCCAAATACTTTGGACATGTTATCAAAAGGGACCAGTCTCTGGAGAAGGACATCACATCTGGTAAAGTAGAGGGTCAGCGAAAGACTCTCAGTGAGACAGACTGACACGGTGGCTGCAACAAGGGGCTCAAACACAGCAACAATCATGAGGATGGCGCAGGACCGGGCGGTGTTTCATTCTGTTGTACACAGGGTCGCTATGAGTCAGAACCGACTCAACAGCAACTAACAACAAAACCAACAATTAAAACAGAGCTGGAGGGTAGTTACTGTACATTTTAATATGTGAATCCATAATCTGTAAATTCAGAGTTCCCTAAATTAATAGCTAATCCAGATTTCAATGTTACTAAAGCTATTCAAAATCATCTGATAAGGTCATAAAAATACAAGATGGGGTAAGAAAGGTCAGAGAGCATATTCTGGTATTCCTTCAGCATAGAAGCACTAAGTTTAATTATTGTCTACTGTCCCGAGAAGTATTCTTATTCATAATAGACTTCTAAAATAATTTTTGCTGAGGAATGTTTCACTGAGAACAGTTCTGAAAAAGTTCATAAAATCTCTAAGTCTTAGTTTCCTCAGTTTATAAAACACGGAGGTAAACCAGACCAGGTTTTCTTACCGGTTTGCCCTCTGCAATATATTTTCATCCCATGTTTGTAATCATCAGACAGGATTCAGTTGAGTTTTGCTTTCCATAGTTTTTTATTTGAAGATAAACATATTTTGAAAGTTTTTTTTTTTAACTTGTACATGCCCACCCCTTTAAAAGTCAGAATTCTCTAGAGATATGACCCTCAATATGGAAGTTTAAGCTGGATTAGATGATCTCTAAGGCTACCAGACTACATTGGAAAGCCTAGTGAAATGGGAATAGGGGTAACTATTAAAAGTTCAGTGGTTCTTCAAAAAGTTAAACACAGAATTACCATATGACCCAGCAATTCCACTCCTAGGTATACATCCAAACGAATTAAGAACAAGTAGTCAAATAAACCACCACGTGTCTGTCAGTGTCATACTGTGGTGGCTTGCGTGTTGCTGTGATGCCGGAAGTTATGCCACTCATATTTCAAATACCAGCAGGGTCACCTATGGTGGACAGTTTTCAGCAGAGCTTCCGGACTAAAGACAGACTAGGAAGAAAAGACCTGGCGATCTACTTCTGAAAAAATTGGCCAGTGAAAACCTTATGAATAGTGGCAGAACGTCCGTCTTGGAAGAAGTACAGCCAGAGTGCTCCTTGGAAGCAAGGATGGCAAGACTCCGTCTCATGTACTTTGGACATGTTATTAGGAGGGACCAGTCCCTGGAGAAGGACATCACACTTGGTAAGGTAGAGGGTCAGTGAAAAAGAGGAAGACCCTCAACCAGATGACTTTAAGGCAAAATCCACCATAAAAGATAAGGACATTATATAATGATTAAACGACCAATCCATCAGGAGGAAATAACTATAATAAATACATATGCACCCAATGACAAGGCTCCAAAATACATAAAACAAACTCTAAAAGCACTGAAAAGAGAAATAGACAGTTCCATAATAATAGTAAGAGACCTCAACACACCACTTTTGGTGAAGGACAGAACATCTAGAAAGAAACTCAACAAAGATACAGAAGAGCTAAAGGCCACAATCAACCAGTTCAACCTCATAGACACTCCACCCAACAGCAGCAAAGTATACATTCTTCTCCAAAGCACATGGAACATTCTCTATAACAGACCACATTTTAGACCACAAAGTAAGCCTTAACAGAAATCCAAAACATTGAAATAATACAAAGCATTTTCTCTGATCACAATGCTATAAAAGAAGAGATCAACCACAGGAATAGCAAGGAAAAAAAAAATCAAATATATGGATACTGAGTAACACCTTGCTTAAAAACTACTGGGTAATAGAAGAAATCAAAGATGGAATTAAAAAATTCCTAGACTCAAATAAGAATGAAAACACATCTTACCAAAACCTTTGGGACACAGCAAAAGCAGCGCTCGGAAGTCAATTTATAGCAGTGAATGCACACATCAAAACAGAAGGGCCAAAAACAAAACATTAACCCCACAACTTGAACAAATAGAAAGAAGTAACAAAAGAAGTCCACAGTCACCAGAAGAAAGGAAATAATAAAGATTAGAGCAGAAATAAATGAAATGGACAACAGAAAGACAACAGAAAGAATCAACAAGACCAGAAGTTGGTTCTTCAAAGGGATCAACAAAATCAACAAACCCTTGGATAAACTGACAAAAGAAAAATGGGAGAGGAAGTAAATAACTCATATAAGAAATGAAACAGACCCAACAGAAATAAAAAGGATCATAACAGAGTACTATGAAAAACTGTACTCCAACAAATTTGAAAACCTAAAGGAAATGTACAAATTTCTAGAAACACACTACTTACCTAAGCTTACACAAACTGAGGTAGAAAAACTGAACAGACCCATGACAAAAGAAGAGATTGAAAAGGTAATTTAAAAAACTCCCAGCAAAAACAAACCCTGGCCTGGACAGCTTCACTGGAGAATTCTACCAAACACTCAGAGAACAGCTCATACCAACACTACTCAAACTATTTCAGAGTACAGAAAAGGAAGGAATACTCCCAAATTAATTCTATGAAGCCAACATAACCCTGACATCAAAGCCAGGAAAAGATGCCTCAAAAAAAGAATATTACAGACCAATATTCCTCATGAATACAGACACAAAAATTCTCAACAAAATTCTAACCAATAGAATTCAGCATCATATCAAAAAAATAATACACCATTACCAAGTGGAACTCACACCAGGTATGCAAGGATGGTTCAACATTAGAAAATTAATCAACATAATCTACGACATAAATAAAAGAATCACATAATCATTTCAATCAACACTGAAAAGGAATCTGACAAAGTCTAACATCCATGCCTGATAAAAACTATCGGCAAGATAGGAATAGAAGGGAAATTCCTCAACATAATAAAGGGCATTTATACAAAACCAGTAGCCAACATTATTCTCAATGGAGAGAGACTGAAAGCATTCCATTGAGAACAGAAACCAGACAAGGATACCCTTTATCACCACCCTTATTCAATATTGTGCTGGAAGTCCTACCTACAGCAATAAGGCAAGAAAAATAAATAAAGGGCATCCAAATTCCTAAGGAGAAGTAAAACTATCCCTATTCGTAGATGATATGAACCTATACATTGAAAATCCCAAAGATTCCACAAGAAAGCTACTGGAAATAATAAGAATTCAGCAAAGTAGCAGAATACAAGATCAACATAGAAAAATCAACTGGATTCCTCTAAACCAACAAAGAGAACTCTGAAAAGGAAATCAGGAAAACAATACCATTTACAATAGCCCCCAAAAAGATAAAATAAATAGGAATAAATCTAACCAGGGACATAAAAGACCTATACAAAGAAAACTACAAAACATTACTGCAAGAAACCAAGAGACCTACATGAATGGAAAAACAAGCCATGCTCATGGATTAGAAGACTCAACATCGTGAAAATGTCAGTACTACCCAACGTGATCTACAGATACAATGCAATACCATTCAAATTCCAACAGCATTCTTTAATAGAGTGGAAAAACGAATCACCAACTTTATAAGGAAAGGAAAGAGGCCTCAGATAAGTTAAGCATTACTGAAGAAGAACAAAGTAGGAGGCCTCATGCTACCTGATCTCAGAAACTACTATACAATCATGGCAGTCAAAACAGCCTCGTACTGGTACAACAACAGACACATAGACCAGTGGAACATAACTGAGAACCCAGACATAAATCCATCCACCTATGAACAGCTGATCTTTGACAAAGGGCCAAAGTCCATTAACTGGGGAAAAGACAGTCTCCTTAACAAACGGTGATGCAAAACTGGATGTCCATTTGTAAAAATATGAAACAGGACCCACACCTCATACCATACACAAAAACTAACTCAAAATGGATCAAAGACCTATATATAAAACCTAAAACTATAAAGATCATGGAAGGAAAAACAGGGACAATGCAAAGGGCCCTAATATATGGCATAAACAGAATACCAAACATAACTAAAAATACACAAATAGCAGAAGATGAACTAGATAAATGGAACCTCCTAAAAATTAAACACTTATGCTTATCAAAAGACTTCACCAAAAGAGTAAAAAGAGAACCTACAGACTGTGAAAAAAATTTTGGCTATGACATATCTGACAAGGGTCTCATCCCTAAAATTTATAGAAAACTTCAACACTTCAACAACAAAAAGACAAACAACCCAATTAAAAAATGGGCAAAGAGTATGAATAGACACTTTACAAAAGAAAACATTCAGATGGCTAATAAACACATGAAGAAATGTTCGTGATCACTAGCAATGAGAGAGACACAGATCAAAACTACAATGAGATACCATCTAACCCCGACATTACTGGCACTAATCAAAAAAACAGAAAATTACAAATGTTGAGGAGGTTGTGGAGAGACTGGAACTCTGGAGAGACTGGAACTCTTATACACTGCTGGTGGGAACATAAAATGGTACAACCACTATGGAAAATGGAGAAAAAAGCTAGACAGAGAAATAAGATATGACCCAATAATCCCACTCCTAGGTATATACCCTAAAGAGATAAGAGCCATGACACGAATAGACATATGCATGCCCATGTTCATTGCACCATGATTCACAATAGCAAAAAGATGGAAATGATCTAAGTGCCCAACAACAAACTGATACATACTACTATACAATGATAAAGAATAATGATGAATCAATCTGTGCAACACCTCACAACATGGATGAATCTGGAGACATCATAATGAGTAAGTCAATCACAAAAGGACAAATATTGTAAGAGACCACTATTATAAAGAAACAAGAAAAGGTTTATACACAGAGAAAAAAAAAATTGATGGTTACCAGGGATGGGAGGGGGAGGGACGGAAAATTACCAAACGGATAGAAGACATGTGCTCATATTGGTAAAGGGAAAGGCAATACACAATATAAGAGAAGTCAGCAAAACATGACCAAACATGGAAAGACACTGAGAGGAACACAAGAACAAAAGGCAACAATAGTTAGTTATCATTACTACAGCATAGACAATCCTGTAACAGTAGTATTACAAAATACTAATTTTCGAATGGATACATAGGTAGATAGATATGCCAACAGGTGTGGGAAGGTGAACACACTCACCTGCAGATACAGGTTTGGTGGTGGATATTTCTACACACATAACTGGAGGTGCTGCTTATATATTAATATAGACAATAGAGCACACAAGGGCCACAGTCCAGGCAACTTCTTAGATGTAACTAAACACCTCGCAGGACAAAGTTCTTAGGTCCAAAGGCAAAGGACCATAAACTTGGGGGGCATCTATATCAACTGGCACAACATAGTTCATAAAGACAAAGTTCTGCATCTTATTTTGGTGAGTAGTGTCTGGGGTCTTAAAAGCTTGTGAGCAGCCATCTAAGATACAACTACCAGTCTCTTAAAGTCCAGAGCAAATAGAGTGAAAAAACCCAAAGACTCAAGGGAGCAATTAGTCCAAAGGACAAATGGACCACATGAACCACACAGCCTACATGACTCCGAGAAAGAAGAAGTAGATGGTATCTGGCTATCACTACTGACCACTCTTACTGGGATCACAACAGAGGGTCCCAGACAAAGTAGAAGACAAACTGTACTACAAAAAATCATATTCACAACAAAGACAAGACTTATTGGTCTGACAGAGACTGGAGAAACCCCCAAGACTATGGCCCTAAGACACCCTTCTGACCTGGAACTGAAGCCATTCCTAGAGACCAACTTTCAGCCAAATCACAGACAGGCCCATAAAATAAATAGTAATACTCGAGAGGAACGTGCTCCTTAGAACAATCAATTATACGAGATCAAAAGGGCAACACTGGCCTGAAAGCAAAGATGAGAAGGCAGGAAGGGATAGTAATTGAGGACAAAAGGAAATGGGGAACCCAGGCAGAAACAGGGAGAGTACTGACACACTGTGGGGAATGAGACCAATGTCATGAAACACTTTATATACAAACTATCAAATGGGAAACTAATTTAATCCATAAGCTTGCACCTAATGCACAATAAAAAGTTTTTTAAAAAAAAGAAGCCCTATGAAGCACAGTTCTACTATGAGACACGTGGTGCTGCCATGAGTGGGAGTCGACTCAATGGCAACTGATTTGGGTTTTTTTTTGTAAATACTACTTTAAATTGTTTATTTTCATAGGTATGTAACATCCCCTAACCATAATAAAAACTTTTTGATGCCTGAAGCCGTATCATCTATTATTTAAAGGAACTAATAATGTAGACTGTATATAACAGGAAATCAATAAAATTTTTATCTGAATGTGAAGAGATGAAGGCTTAGAATAAATAAGGTCTCACCTAGTAGCCTAGCTACTTTTACATCTTATCAATAAGTGCTAATTTAATTAATAAAACCAAGATTTATCAGAACGTGGTGCTTCAACTTGTCTTGTATTAGCCTGTTTTAGAAGAACTGCAACTGCAGCTTTGAAAAAACCAGGAAGGTAGGAGACCAGAATCAAACAAATCTGATGCCCTATCTCCGATTCTGAACGCAGCTTATAATTTTAACAGTTTCTTTGGGAAAACATAACCTGCTTTATGATATAATTTCCAAAAACAGGCTGACCAAAAGTGGCAACAGAATACATACACAAATAATGATGCTATGGATACCCTGCGTAACTGTGTTAAGATACACACTTAGAACAAAACAAAATTAAACAGAGAAAGATATTCTATTACATTTTATAACATTCTATATTGCAAAACACATCTCTCCTCCTTCTTTTGGAAAACTGCATTCCTAAGTAGTAGGTGAAAGTGCACAAAAATTATAAATATAGGGCTTTCTAAATAGCTTACCAACAGTATTTGAGGCTGTTCACCATCTCTATCTGTCAAATGCAGAAAGTTCTTCCTTCCTGGCTCAAAACTAGCATCAAGAAGAGATTTGTCACTGGTATGATCCAGTGGAGTCTACAGGTATAAAACAAAATATCTTCAATTATGAGAAAGTATTAATTGCAGTAACAGAAAAAACAAGTAACATGTAAACAGACATATTTCTACACTTATTGGGCTCAAACAGTATTTTTAAAAATAATGATTCTGGTAAAATTCTATTAAGGAAGGCTTAGATCTAACTGAACCCACCCCGTTGCCGTCGAGTCAATTCTGACTCATAGCGACCCTATAGGACAGAGGAGAACTGCCCCACAGGGTTTCCAAGGAGTGGCTGGTGGATTCAAACTGCCAACCTTTTGGATAGGAGCCGAGCTCTTAACTGCTACACTGCCAGTGCTCCAGATCTAACTTATCTATGAATATAATATGAATTCCCAGATAAGTAATACACTAAGCAACACAACCAAAATAATTATGTAATATAACAACACAGGCACCTTCAGAAAGACCACTTAAGGAAAAGCCTGTCCTAGTAAATGATACCTACTTCAAGACCACAGTCAGGATCCAGAAGATCCTAGGAAGAAGTGATCATTCCTTTGAAAAGTAAACATTTAACATTTTTTATCTGGTAGAGTAATTTCAACCTTAACTGTCATTCTGATACACTCGAGTTGACGGATGGGAGATAGAGCTTTGTATGCCTCATGCCCTACTCACTCACATTCCCGACCACTACTGAGAAAAGTGAGGGTGTAGGGAAGACTACAGCCATTAAAAATGTTTTTTGAGCTTGAGAATTAAAGTCAAAATGAATTCATGTTCATACAGAGAAAAAACTATACCTAAAATTAAAAAAAGTTACCCAGAAAACACACTCAAAAAGAAAAGATTTAGTCACCTAGAGATAATCTCTATTAACGCTGGGGTATATATCCTTCTACTTTTTTCTCTTCTTATATACACTTTTTCTTCTTTTCTAAAATTCAGATGATAGACTACTTACGATTTTATATCCATTTAAAAATATAAGTTGACCTAATATTACAACAGTCACCTTACATGAATGAAAAAAACTAACAAAACAACATTTTAGGATAAGCAGATACTTAATCCAGAATAGAGGAAAAGGGAAGAGGAGGGATTCAAGTACTGAGTTGCACAAAGGCTCTTACTATAATTGCTATACTTTTGCTTATGATATCAGAAAGCCTTCCAGGATTTAACATAATCATTAAAAACAACAACAATAACAATGGGTATAATAATATTATTAGCTGCTTAAGAAAAGATGCTTTAAGTCTAGAGTTTTACCATATCAGCAGTATTGATTCCATTTCCCCACACCAAATCAAAGGTTCCATTTACGTAGCCTACTTTGTTGGCCACATCTTCAAAGAGCTTTCTGAGTGGAGTAGAAGCTGGTAAATTTAAAGTGATCCGTTCATTCACTGTCTTTGAATTAGTAGTATCTTGTATTATACACAAGACTCTAGGTTCTTCAGCAGCATTTTCTATCTGAAATTGAAATTGAAAAAGAAAAAGAATATTATTTATCTTTAAAGGAAAACAAAATAACTGTAATTAGCCACAAAATTTTATGACTAAATGCAAAATAACCAACAAAATACTAATTATTTTGTATATGCCAGTACTACTGTTTTGTGATGTCTGAAACATACTCTAACGGATATGTCTATAAAACATCATATAGGTTTGTTTTGGGAAAATGTGGGCATATTTCAGAATCAACAGTTATTCTTGTGGGCATTTGCTTTCACCTTTTAAGGTTAAGTCAATGATCAACAAGCCATGAAGAAGTACACTTGTGCAATTTTAAGTTAAAAATAACGGTTTCCTTAAAAATGTGTCACTACTATGCTAGCACTACCAAAGCAAGCATTTCTGGGTCTCCTGGTAAAACAGAAAGAGACTTGTCAGAAATTCAGTGGGAACTGTCTAAAGATTGCAAATCTGTAACTAAGGGACAAAGCCAATCAGACCTCCTCACCTTTACTCTGCTGTACCCATAGCCCAGATGGCCAGAAAGCCTCATATATAATATGTTGGAGCTGACAAGCTTATCCTAACGGATCAGCCAGCAGTAACGGGAGGGGAGAGCAAGGAAAAAACCCTTTTTCTCCATTACCAATCCTGAAAAGTGTCACAAATTCTCCTTCCTTCTTTTTCATCAAGTGCATAATTCAGTAATTATCTAAACAAAAGATTTTAAAAGTAGACTTTCTCACAGAAGCTATGCCCTCCATCCTCAAGCTTCTGAGGACACAAAGGCCGCTTTTCTTTTTGCACCAGTTAGTTTAGTGGAAGGCCTGCTCTATACTCCTTTACCTTCTGTAATGCCCAACTGAATGAACAGCACTATCATCTCCCCAGAGTGGAGTATCTTCCTCATCTCCTCCTTCTTCACCTCACACAACACCAAATTCTATCAATTCTACCTTCTGGCTATCTCTTGAATTAGCCACTTCTCTTCATCCTGCTGCAATCAGGATCTTTCACCAAAAGATTCCTGAGTAGTTTTCCTTCTTCCAATCTAATCTTGCTTAGATTCAGGATGGTATTTCTAAAGTACAAATCTGATTATGTAAACCTCTTGCTTTCCTTCAGAGTCAAGTACAGCAGTCATTTAACTGGGGGATCTGTCACCAATTCCATAACAGACTATTCAGACACACGACCTGTACAAACTAGAGCTATTACAAGAATTTCTTCTTTTTTGAAAACGTCAGCCTCGATCTTTTGTTGTTTCTACATGATCCATCTTTAAATGAGAATTATTATCACTGATTAGTATTAAGACAGGATAGCCACAAAGTTTTTTTGTTTGATTGGTAAGGGTAATCCAATTACAGTTTGTTACTGCCATATACAATTTAAACATGATTTGTAATTTCAAATAAGTAATTTGTAATTTAAATTTTAAAATAAGACGTAATTTAAAATAAGGTTAATCCAATTAATTCAGAACTGATTATGTTGCTATAAAAGAAGTATAATATTTAAAACATACTGGCTAGCACAATATTTCAGACAAGTCAAAATATGTAATTACCAACAATAACCCATTTACAAGCATAAAGAAAGGAAACATATATCTGCAAAATAAACAGGATAACACAAAAGAGCATTACTAATTTACTTCCCAATCAGATAAGGAAAAAAATCTTTCACCTATAAATTTAAGATGTTACAGTTAATACACTAAATGGATTCTTTTACATATTTTAATTGCAAACCAAGAAAAGATAAAGTTGACATTTGTTTAAAACTCTGGTTTACACTAAAAGAGTAAACAACTCAAAATAACTTTAAACTACAAAAGACCTACTTTTATAGTATGGATAGTATACTCAGAGGTAGGGTAAGTCTGAATGATTCACGTTTTCCAGACATAAAATATTATAGTAGTTTTCAAAGCTTCAGATAAGCTGGGGTTAATGATCTGAGGAAGACGACGTTACCTAAGAATTCAGAAATCAGAGTGCTGATATAGTACTATACATTAAGTATGGTGATACGGCAGCAACATATAGTCCCACATTAGTACCTCCTATCCCTGGTGGCGCAGTGGTTAAGCATCTGGCTGCTAACCAAAAGGTTGGCTGTTTGAATCCTTGAGTTGCTCCTTGGAAACCCGATGGGACAGTTCTATTCTGTCTTATAGGGTCACTATGAGTTGGAATCAACTCAAAGGCGACGAGGCTTTTTTTTTTTTCCAGTTCTTTATCTACTGTTTGAAAAATGTGACCAGAAGGTTTAGGCACTCCAGACTCCTCTCCTTCCACTCAAAAAATGTGGGGAAACCATTCCCGAATGAATTCTCATGTGAAGACTAACTGTACTACCAAAAAAAAACCAAACCCATTGCCAGTGAGTCAATTCCAAATCACACTAAACACAAATTTAATTCCGTGTGCCTTTTACTCTTTTTAATGACAATAGTTTTCTTTTATGTACATATAAGTATTAAAAAAAAATAGAGTATAAAGGAAAAAGTGGAACTCCTCTATAATCTCTGAACCCTGAGATAACTATTAACACTTTGGTGCATAGCCTTCCTAATATTTTTCTGTATACAGCATACATGCTCAATTTTTTAAAACAAACACTGGATTTTGAAAATACATGACATTTTATAACTTCTTTCTTCACTTATAAGTGTAATCTTTCCCTGCAAACTTTTCCTAACTCAACAATTTAACAGCTGAATAGTATTCTATTATATAGATTATTTGTTAATCAATTCTATTTTACTCTTAGACTAGATTTTACTATACTTTAGAAATAATTCTGTGATGAACACCTTTTCTTCACATACTTTTCTGTTTCCTTAAAATTCCCACAAAGTAGAATTGCTAGATCAATCACATTTTACTCTTGAATTCAATTTTAGGATAATTTAAACTAACAAAAATGTTCTGCTCTTTTTGAAAGCTCTATGCTAGTCACATAAATTCTATTACTTTATTATTTTATGGACCATTCTTTATTTCACCTATAATTTAATCTAACATGTGGCTATTACCCAGGGACTGCATCTCAATTTTGAGATCACTACTGTCAACGCGATTCACACTGAGGTGAAATTTCTCTCCTTCTTTCCTCCTAATTAGGGGACTTATCAGTAACATATTGAGGGAAAAAAAGCAAAACAAATTTTTGCAATTCTTAAATATCATCAATGCATAAGCTACACTAATAATTTTATAATAGCTCTTCAGGAGGAAAAAAACTCTACCATATTAAGTTAAACATGCAGATTTCTAAAACATTTAAATGTAAGAAAGGTGTTTCTTAGAATTTTGAAAATAGTACATTATTGTTGTTGTTAGGTACCATTGAGTCGGTTTTGAATCATAGTGACCCTATGTACAACAGAATGCAAATAGGATAGGAGGCACTAAGAGGTGGATTAAAAACGGCTAAAAATTCTTTGCCACTTTTTTCCTTTTCCTCTTCCCCAGAATGTGATAAAAGTGATATTGTATAATTTAAGGCTTCTGTTTTTGCCCGTCTTAGAATACCACCTCTTAGAAGCCAGCTACCAAATAAGAAAGAAGTCCAGTTACCCTGGGGCCACCATGCTGTGAGGAAGCCTTAACAATCCATGTAGAGAGAAAGTGGCTACTTAGTAGAGCACTGAGACAACTGAATAATTGAGAAAAGCTTTCTTGGACATCTAAACCCAGCCACTAGCTGAGTGGGACCAAGTACTGAGCCCAGATGATGCCATGTGGAGCAGAAGAACTGTCCAGCTGGGCCCTGACCAAATTCTCATCCCACAGAATTGTGAACAAATAAACTAGCTGTTGTTTTAAACCACTAAATTTTGGAGTAGTCTGTTACATACCAGTAGATAATCAAAACACACTTCCACACATTTAAGCACATGCAAGTTCTAGTTGGGAAGTATGTAGCAGTGGGGAGGTGGGGAAGAAGTCCAATTAAGCATACATCCAACTTGAAGGAAAGGCCAACTGAGAATACATCATGACTCAGGGAAAGGAGCAAAATTTTAGTCAAATGCATTCTACTGTGAACTCAAGGTAAGAGAAAACAAGTGCAAAGTTTTAGAAAAGCTTAAAGAACGTTCCATTTAGGAAAGCATTTAATATAACTTACATAAGCTATGAAAGGGTCATAAAGTTTTCTACACATAAAATCTGATCAAGTACAAAAAGTCTGAAGCATAAAATTAAAACTATTTATTTTACGAACAACTCGTACCAATATGACACTTGTGAGACTAAGAGGGCTGTCAACAGTTACGTTCATAAATATATATATAATATATATTTATATTTATTTAACACTGTATATGCTAAAAGAGTGTTCTGTCTGTGTTTTTCTATGCTTATTTCAGAAACAAAACTACATTTCCTAGCAAAGTCTGAAGTATCCTTGAAGACAGTAAAAAAGAATAAAATCAGTTTTGTTTACAAAAGAGTATTAACATATTGTGATAAAAATATTACAAACATATTTTTCTTCCAAAGACAGACTCATTACTAGGGACCTCTAGAAGCAGCTGACGTAGATATTCTTCTAATAAATCTTAGAGCCTGCTGTAGGCATGTTTGCCACTTGTCATCTTTTCTCCTTTTCTGTTCTTGGCATTTCTAACAATTTTAAGTTCAAAACTGAGTTCCCTGAAGTCAACATCATAATTTTTATTTCACAAAAAATATTTAATTAGTTTTCTCATTAAAAATGCAAAACAAGGTATGTAATTGGTGGTATATGTTGATAGTATCACTCCCCATTGCCGTCCAGTTGATTCTGACTCATAGCAACCCTACGGGACAAAGCAGGGTATCCAAGGCTGTAATCATTACTGAAGCAGACTACCACATTTTTTCTCCCACGGAGTGGCTGGTAGGTCCTAACTTACGACCTTTTGGTTAGCAGCCAAGTGCATAACTACTGTGCCACCAAGGCTCCTTCATATATCACCAGCATGCAGAAAACAATTTAATGTCAAAATTCTAAATTATGTTTTAGATGCTTCTGAGAGAAAAATTTTAAGGTAAAGAATGCAACCCTTATGAAGGGACCTCTTTACCTCTAAATTTAACAGTCAACCCATTTTCTCTCAAGACTTTTTCGTTCAATGTTATTACAAAGAATAACAAGATTAGGATTACAAACTTAAAAAAAAAAATCCACAAGTAAGTTCATTTTATCTATTTCTTGGCACAGGTGCTACTATAAGCTAAGAAAAAGGTATAGTACCATTACCCTTCTGGGTATCCATAGTTCATGATTAAGCACTCGGTTGCTAACCAAAAGCTTGGCAGTTCAAACCCACCAGCCGCTCCACAGGAGAAAGATGTGGCAGTCTGCTTTCACAAAGATTTACAGCCTTGGAAACCCTATGGGACAGTTCTACTCTGTCCTTTAGGGTCGCTACAAGTTTGAATAGACTCAGACAGCAATCGGTTTTACAGCTTTACAGATTAAAAGAAAATTGATAGTGTGAATATTTTTGCTGAATGAAATTTATAAAAGTGATCAGCCTCATTTAGACTGTGTGTTTTTACTTTAACAAGTGACAATTTCTGGGGCAGGGATGGGGATCCTTTCATTAAAAGAAAAAAAAGAGATTATTTTTGTGGTCCCTCTCAGTTCTAATGTTTATAGGATCTTTTTCTAGGTAGTTTCTTGCAACAGATCAACTGGGGAGAATAGAAGTTAAAGGAGAAGAAAGCCTAGGGGAAAAAACTGAGAGCTAAAGGGACCTGAGGAGAATGAGATATTGGGTAAAGGTTAGAATGGGTGTTACATCACAGAGAAGTTTAGGTTTATAGTGCACACAAGCTGTCAGAGGAGTAATACTTTTATTTAATTCTGCAAATAGGATTTCTGACTTTTGACCATAGATTATTAAATGATTTAATTCCTAGCATTATTAGTATTTCAGAAAATAAACATATCCAAAAAACAGACAACTATGATACTCTAAAGTTAAAACAAAGTGGGCTGTGGTTTTTATATCAGTTTTCCCCTTCACTTACTTGTTAAAAATAAGGAACTATCAACAAATTCATCTAAGGTGACTTTTTTATTATTAAAATAGGGTAGAAATAAAATAGCCAAACAAGCATAAAACTTAAGACATGCCTTGTTATTAAATAAAAATACTAACATGCCGTTACTTGCTCTGCTGATTATCACACTAAAGCAATTACATCAGCAGTCTACCTGTAAAAATTTCTTCTTCATTTCATCAAAGATATTTTGTCTGCATCTCCAAAACACATCCTATGGCATATAAGAACAAATGAGTTACAAATTATTTCTTTAAAATAAAGAGGAAGACAGTGAAATGAGAACAATTAACCTAAAGACATTTTTTAAATAAAATATTAAAGTATTAGTGTACCATCTAGGATTTTATTCATAAATAATATTTGTAATTTTTACCTTAAGTATCACTTACTCTTGTAAAGGTTACCAAAGACCTACGCTATAGTTATAAAGAGTAATATTAACATGGAAAACAACCACATTTAAACAAAGTGGTGGCTTAAGAACTGTGTGTAAATCAAATGTTCTAAGACAAATAATATTTTCAGCTGACTAAATAAACTCTGCAGGGAAACCAAGAGATTTCTAATTTAGCTAGTTTATAAATTTGGATTTTTTCACATGTAGATATTTTTAAAGTAAGGCTGCTTAACATAACCCCCTACCCTTCTTTTAACATGAAGCCCTTCTTTATTATAATAAGACAAGCTTATTTTAATAACAGAGAAAATAATCTATAATCAAAAGATAATCTCTTGAAAAATCCTGGTTTTACATCATTCTAACTTTCTCTATACATATTTTTCTCCCTCTCTCCTTTAGTTATTAAAAAGAGAGCAACTTATACTGCTTTAAAAACTACTTTTATAACTCACAGGAAAATGAATATTATTCTACATCAAGAAAAAAAAGATTTCCACTACTTGTTCTTGCAATAAAAATATATTTTATTATAATAGCAGTACATGATTTTTTGAAAAGCAACTCTAAAATAATTCCTACAACAATTGTAACAATTTGATCTATCTCCTACCAGAGCCTCTTCCATTTTATGGATATATTTATTATATATATTGTTCATCTTTAACCAAACAGGATCATTTTATACACAGTTATTTAAAATGTGCTCCTTGTCCTTCAGTATTCATTGTCTTTCCACACTAAAACATTTAGTTGAAAAAACTACAGTGTTCCATTATATAGACAGTCCATAATTTATCTACCTAATCTACTATTTCGGAGCCCTGGTGGCACAGTGGTTAAGAGCTAGGCTGCTAACCAAAAGGTCGGCAGTTCGAATCCACCAGCCACTCCTTAGAAACCTATGGGGTGGTTCTACTCTGACCTATGGGGTCACTATGAGTCGGAATCAACTCAAAAGGCAATGGGTTTTTTGGTTTACTCTACTATTAAGAAGCCCTGGTAGAGCAATGGTTAAGCATTGGTTGCTAACGAAAAGGAGGGTGGTTTGAACTACCACCTGCTCTGTGGAAGAAAAGACCTGGTGATCTGCTCCTGTAAAGATTACAGCCTAGGAAGCTCTATGGGGCAGTTCTACTCTGTCATATATGGTTGCTATGAGTCAGAATCGATTTAACAGCATAGAACAACAATCTACTATTCATGGGCATTTAAAAAAAACAGTTGCCAACAAGTCAATTCTGATTCATGGCAACCCCATGTGTGTCAGAGTAGAACTGCACTCCAAAAGGTTTTTAATGGCTGATTTTTTGGAAGTAGATCACCAGGCCTTTCTTACAAGGTGCCTCTGTGTAGCCTCGAACCTCCAACCTTTCTAGGTAGCAGCCAAGCGCTTTAACTGTTTGTACCACCCAGTGACTCCAATATGCATTTAGATACTTTCAAATGTTCACTATAGTATGTATTCTTATACAATTCTTTTCCTTAAGATAATTTCTCAATGAAAAAATTATTAGATCAAAGGATATGCATTCATTTTTAAGATCTTCGATACATGGTGCCAAAAGACTAACCTTCTCTTCCACAAATAAGTATTGAACTACAACTATGCGTCAAACGCTGTTCTCGGGGCTGAAAACACAGCAGTGAACCTTGCACTCAAGGACTGTCATTCTACAGTGCGACCTAAACCGAAAAAATCTAAAGCATCAGGTAGCCACCAGTCTCAGGGTCTTTGCGTTTCTGTACAAGTAAGTGCTTACTTACCTCCTTTGCTCAGGTATCACTGTGGTGGTTTCAAAACATGTCCACAAATCATTTGACATGCCTCCCAGAAAAAGCAGTAGTCCATTCCAGTCCCCTTTAATACAGGCCAGCCTCATGAGTCAGAATCAACTCGATGGCAATGGGTTTGTTTTTGTTTTTGTTTTGGTTTTGGTTTAGTGATTCCCTGTGATAGGGCACATGACTTCCAAAACAAAAGGCAATACAGCTTCTTCCTGGCTCTCTCTCAGATGCTCATCCTTGGAACCCAGTCACACAGGAAGACCATGTGTAGATGTTCAAGTCACAGCCCAAATAAGATCCCAGCTGACAACCAACATCAACCACCATACATGTGAGTGAGGAAGCTCCCAGGCTTTGAGGTGCCCCAGCTGACGACTAGCAGAGCAGAAACTAGCATTCCCAGTCCAGCCTTGTCCAAAATGCATATCCGTGGGCAAAATTAATATTTGGTTGTTTTAAGTAACTAGTTTTGGGGTGTACTGTTATACAGCAAAAGATAATTGCAATAGTTGGCTTCTCAATGAACTCTTTTCTTCACCATCCTCTTTAAAATTACAATTTTCCACAAAATCCTCAACCCCCCCTTCCTTGCTTCAGTTTTCTCCATAGCATTTACAGCTATTTATTTATAGTTTACTTGTTTATTTTCCATCTGAAAAAAAAAAAAAAAAAAAAAAACTTCCACTCTGAGTCAGGATGGAGCAGCCGACTGGATTTATCCTCCTACCTTAAATAACAAAAAAAACCTGGATGAAATATATGAAACAATGGTTTTCAAACACTGCACAACAGGCAGCACAGGACAGTGATTCCTGTGAAAGGAGAAACAAACAAGGTAAACCCTACAACTGACCCAGCTTACTGCTCAGACAGTTTCTAGGCCACAGTGCAAGAAGGTGGAACCCAGGCAGAGCCTGGCAATCTCCCTGAGCTGAAGAGATGAGATTGGGAGTTCAAGGGGACCAGACTGGCTGGAATTCACAGAGCAGAATACTGGAGAGAGCTACACAGAGAGCAAGCTCCAGAGATATGCAGAGGGGTCCTCCTTGAGTATCCAGTGAGTAATGATCAGCATGTACATGTGAAGAAACTACCCAAGGCAGGGAAAAGAACTACGGGAAGGAATCCCCTGAGCCCATTTAGTTTCCCACCACCCAGAGTGAAAAAATCTCATAATACCTGGGGCATCAGATAAGAGTATTCAGTGGTGGAGCTGAAACAGTCCTAGTCTAAAGGCTACTCTGTCCAACCTTACAAAGCTTAAAAGCAAGTCTAAAAGAATTAAACTGTTTACAAGTAAATTAAGTGCATTTGAGAACAAAGAATATTTATGGGAATAAAAAATACATAGCTCCCAACAAGGCAAAATTCACAATGTCTGACCATCCAGTAAAAAATAATCAGGCACAGAAAGAGGCAGGAAAGTATGACCCATAATGAAGAGAAAAATCAATCAATAAAAGTCAATCCAAAAATGGTACAGATGATAGAACTGATAGATAAGGACATTAAAACAGTTTATAATTATATTCAATTTTTCAAGAGGTTATATAGAGGAGAATATGCTAAGGAGAAACATGAAAGATATAACACAGACCCAATCTGAATTTCTAGGGATGAGAAATAATATCTGAGATGAAAATTACAACAGAAGGGATTAACAGATTAGATACTGCTAAAGAAAAAACGAGTGAACTTAAAACATATATTTTATACAGTTTTGATAAAAAGTATAAAAAATAAAACAGAAAAAATGAAAGAAAAAAATTAACAGAGCAACAGAGAGCTGTGGGAGAACTTCAAGCAGCCTAATATTGTCTATCTCCATCCCTTCCTAAACATAAACTTCAGAAGGGCAGGAATTTTTGTCCCTTTGTTTACCACTATAAAGAAAAGCTGTATCCACAATGTATAGAAAAGCTGATGGCATATAGCAGGTGATAAAAAAAATTTGTTGAAGAATGTTTAAATAAATGATACGGTACACACACAGTGTGTGTATGAAAAGTGTTGAGGAGGGAAGACAGAAACGGAAGTGAGGTTGTTACTTTTAAACAGTACAGTCAGGAAAATCCTCTCTAAGGAGCTGGCATGTGCAAGCAGCCCTGAAGGAAAATGATAAAACAAGCTGTGTGGATGCCTGAGGGAAGGGCAAAGTTAGACAATTTTTATTTCTACCAATAATGAAATAGTGTTTGACAGTGTACAAATCCACAAAGCTATAGTGTAAATTTTGATATGCTTAAAATGCTCACTAACATCCTCATCAACACAGGAGAACGTTGGTTTATTTAATATCTACCAATCTGAAATTGTTTTTTAAAATGCTGTCTTGAGACTGTTGACAATTTAAATTTGACAACCATTTTTGTTCCTAAATCCCAACTCCCTCAAAAGCTTCCTATATAATTAGCATTCCATAAAAATGATAACCATATAACATTTTTTTAAAAAATGTTAACCATAAAAATTTGATAAACAGAATAATATTAAAATTGAGAATTTCTATTCATCCAAGGACCTCATTAATAGAGTAAAAATGCAACGCAGATAGATGGTACCCAGCTACCACTTGACCGTCCTGACAGGGAACAGGGAACATAACGGAGAGTCCCTGATAGAGCAGGAGAAAAGTGTGGTGCAGAACTCAAATTCATGTAAAAAGATCAGACTTAATGGTCTGAGTGAGACTGGAGGAACCCTCAAAGCCATAGCCCCTGGACGCTCTGTTAACCCAGAACTAAAACCATTCCCGAAGCCAACTCTTCAGACAAAGATTAGACTGGACTATAAAACATAAAATAATACTGGCGAAGAGTGTGCTTCTTAGTTCAAGCAGATACATGAGACTAAATGGGCAGCTCCAGTCCAGAGGCAGGATGAGAAGGCAGAAGGGGACAGGAGCCAGTTGGATGGACACGGGAAACCGAGGGTGGAAAGGGGGAGTGTGCTGTCACATTATAGGAATTGCAACTAGTGTCACATAACAATGTGTGTATAAATTTTTGTATGAGAAATCAACTTGAGCTGTAAACTTTCACCTAAAGCATAACTAAAAAAAAGTTAAAAGGGAAAAAAATGCAACTCAGAGAGTGGGAGAACATGTTGACAATCTATGAAGCCAACAAATGACTTAAGGGGTTTGGAAAACAGGATACAAAGTCTCCACCAAATCAGGACCCAAAAGGGCTGCATCCTTGGTATGAGGGCTAAAATAAAAATAAATTTGGCACTTCCAGGAAGATGGAGTAGACATACTTTTCCTTATTCCTCCCACTAAGTACAACTAAAAACCCTGGACATTATAGATAAAACAAACCTAAGACTGAAGGTGGAGAGCAGAAAGTAAATCAGCTAAGGACCCTGGGATCCAAAGAATGCACGGTGACGAGTTCCCTGGGTTTTCTTTTTGCATCATATATCCCAGACTTGGAGCTAAGGAAGCCAGAAACACCAATGGGCACAGACAAAAAAAGCATTTAAAAAAAAAAAAAAGACTACTCTCTGTAGCCAAAGGATCAGGAAAGGGTCAGCCTAGCAGGACAAAAATTTTTTAGAAAATAGTCACTCTATTCCAACCAACCACCACAGAAAAAATTCTGACCCCAGAGCAAAGGCTGAGTGGGTAGCCTACACATCCATCCTTACGAGCAAGTAATGAGGCACCCCAACAACCTCACTGGGGTACATAAAAGAAGGCCAAGTATGGAGCCAGGACATTCATCCCTGCCAACCAGTAGCAAGTCTCCCCACTGCAGTGTCAGTGCAGACCACGTGGGGGCCTGAACTTTTACCCTTACTAGATATAATGAGCCACCTCGCACCCCCCCCCCACCCCAGGGGAGGCCAAGCAGAGTGTCAGGACTTTCACCATCATCTAACGGTGGTGTGAGTGGAAACCATGTAGGGAGTCGAAACTCCCACCTCTGCCCAGCAATGACAGTTTCCCCACTCAGATGTCAACAGAGGCTGAGTGGGAAACCTGGACTTCTATCTCCATCTGATAGTAACAAGCTGTGTCCCCCACTTTCCCTGCCAGAGTGTGATCAGGGGGAAAAAAAGGCTACCAAAACCAGACAGTCTGAATAATATCCAGTATGCCAGAACATAATACAAAAATATCCAGGTTTTAATCAAATAAAATACACACCAAGAACCAGGATATCTCAAACTGAATTAAAAAAAAAAGATGATCAACAGATGCCAACACCAAGAAGACAGATACGTTAGAACTACCTCACAAATATTTTAAAACAGCCATGGTAGGATTCAATGAGCATTTACAAACATGCATTGCATGTAATGAATTAAAAAAAAACAGGAAACCGAAAGAAATAGAAGATATAAAGAATAACCAAACTGAAACTTCAGAACTGAAAAATACAATAAATGAAATAAAAAGCAATACTGGATGGGCTCAACAAATGAATGGAAGGGACAGAGGAAACAATCAGTGAACTGGAAGCTAGAACACTAGAAATTATTCAATCTGAACAACAGAGAAGGAACAGACTGAAAAAACACAAAGTCTTAGGGACATGCAGGACTATTAGAAAAGATTTAAGATACAAGTCATCAAAGTCCTGGAAAGAAAGGTAAAAGAAGGCAAGGCTGAAAAAGTATTTGAAGAAATATGGCAAATAACTCCAAATCCTAAACCCAGAAAAAATATACCTCAGGAATGGCCAAGAATGGATTCAGGAATGAAGGGGAATTCAAGACATTCACACATGAAAGAAAACTGAGAGAATTCGTTTCCTGTACACCTATTCTGAAGGAATGGCTAAAGGAAGTTCTCTAAACAAAAGAGGAATAATAATAATAGGAACCTTGGAACATCAGGAAGGAATAAAGAACAACAGTAAGCAAAAACATGGCTAAACACAATTCATGTTTCTTCTCAAGTTTTTTTAAATATTGGATAGTTGATGCAAAAATTATAATACTACCTGATGTGGTTCTAAGTATATAGAGAGGAAATACTTTTAAAAAATTATATTATAAAAAGGAGAGGATAAAGGAACATAAAGAGAAGTAAGGTTCCTACATTTCATCCAAACTTGTAAAATGTTAACAACAGTAGAATGTGGTAACTTAGATATATATAATATCTAGAGTACCACTAAAAAGCTATATAAGAGATACAATCAAGAACACTACAGATAAAACAAAATGGAATTCAAAAACGTGTTCACATAACCTATAGGAAGGCAGAAAAAGAAAGCAGAAATTAAAAACAGAAAACAAAAAATAAAATAGTAGACTTAAGCTCTAACATATTATTAATTACATTAAGTGTAAATCATCTAAATATACCAATTAAGAGTGAGATTGGCAGAGAAGATTAAAAACATTACCCAACTCTATGCTATCTATATGAGTCGAAATTGACTCTTCGGCACCTAACAACACGCTGTCTATAAAAAAACTCACTTCAAATACATTAATATAAGCAGATTGAAAGTAAAAGGAGGGGAAAAGATAGCTTAGGTGTCTTAGTTATCTAGTGCTGCTATAACAGAAATACCACAAGTGGATGGCCTTAACAAAGAGAAACTTATTCTCTCACAGTCTAAGAGGCTAGAAGTCTGAATTCAGGGTGCCAGCTGCAGGGGAAGGCTTTCTCTCTCGGTCTGCTCTAGGGGAAGGTCCCTGTCATCAATCTTCCCTTGGTCTAGGAGCTTCTCAGTTAGGGACCTGGGGTCCAAAGGGCACACTCCCCTCCTGGTTCTTCATTCTTGGTGGTAGGAGGTTCCCCTCTCTCTCTGCTCACTTCTTTTATAACTCAAAAGAGGTTGACTCAAGATACAATCTAATCCTGTTGACTGAGTCCTGCTTCATTAACATAACTGTCTCTAATCCTGCCTCACTAACATCACAGAGGTTAGGATTTACAACACCTAGGATAATCGCATCAGATCTTAAAATGGTGGACAACCACACACAATACTGGGAATCATGGCCTAGCCAAGCTGACACACATTTTGGGGGGAATACAATTCAATCCATAGCATTATGCAATCATTATTCCAAAGAAAGCAGAAGTTAATTATAAAAAACTAATATCAGATAAGATAGACTTCAGAGCAAAGGAAATTATCAGAGATAGGAATATTACATAATCATAAAAGGGCCCATCTACCAAGAAGACAAAGCAGTCATACGTGTGTATACACCAAATAACACAGCCGCAAAATGTGTGAAGCCTAAACTGATAAAGCCAAAAGAATCAGACAAATCTACAATTACAGGTAGTCCCCGACTTATTAAGGGTTCCATTCCCACAATTCCACTGTAACTCAGTTCTGACATAAGTCTAATACCTTTTTTTTGTTTAGTTTTCATTATTATTGTCTTTTGTTATCAGTATCTTTATAAATCCAATCTTAGAACATCTGCAAGTGAACATCTGAGAACATCAGCAAATTATACGTGCTGCACACAAAATGTAACAATCTTTGTTGGTTACCAGGGATGGGAGGGGTGGGGGGGCGGAAATATTAAATAGACAATAGATAAGTGGTATCTTGGGTGAAGGGTGAGACAGGACACAATACAGGAGAAACTAGCACAACTTGTACAAGGAAAGGTCATGGAAGCCCCATAAACACATCCAAACTCCCTGAGGGACTGAATTGCTGGACGGAGGGCTCTGAGGACCATGGTCTCGGGGTACATCTAGCTCAACTGGCATGACACAGCTTATAAAGACAATGCTCTACATTCTCCCTTGGTGAGTAGTGTCTCGGGTCTTAAAAGCCTGTGAGCGGCCATCTAAGATATTCCACTGGTCTCATCCCTTCGGGAGCAAGGGAGAATGAAGAGAACAGGACACAAGGAAAAGATTAGTCCAAAGGACTAATTGTCCACAGCTACCAAGGCCTCCACCGGACTGAGTCCAGTACAGCTAGATGGTGCCCGGCTACCACCACTGACTGCTCTGACCAGGATCACAACAAAGGGTTCTGGACAGAGCTGAAGAAGGATGTAGAGCACAATTCTAACCCACACACAAAAAAAAACAGATTTACTGGCCTAAAGGAGACTGGAGAAACCCCGAGAGTATGGCCCCCAGACACCCTTTTAGCTCAGTGGTGAAGTTACCTTCGAGGTTCACTGTTCAGCCTGGGAGTGGACAGCCCTGTAATACCAAATGAGACTAACGAGGTACAGGCGTCCAGTGATAAGGGCCAGAAAGCAGAAGGGGACAAGGAAGCTGGTGATAGGGAACCCAAGGTTGAGTAAGGATAGTGTTGATGTGTTGTGAGATTGTTAACCATTGTCATAGGGCAACATTTGTAGTAACTGTTAAATGAGAAACTATTTTGTTCTGTAAGCCTTCATCTTAAGTGAGAATAACAGCACAATTGGAAGAGCGTAGTCAATGTCAGTGAACTGTGCATGTAGAAATTTTTGAAATGGTGTATCTTTGGCTTTGTGTATTTCACCAAAAAAAAAAAAAGGGTTGAGAAGTTAGAGGGTTGACATGTCGTGGGGTTGTTAACCAATGTCATAAAACAATATGTGTACTACTGTTTCATGAGAAACTATTTGTTCTGTAAGCCTTCACCTGAAGTACAATTAAAAAAAAAAAAAAA